CCGGTTGCTATGGGCGACACAATCTCACCAAAGTCCTCAGGTGTTTACACACAAGGCCCATGCTTTTGAGGATGAATTTAACGGAACGAACTACTAACAATACGGGTAGCAGCAAAACTGCAAGTAAGGCAAGTGATCGGGTCTTCCAATCAAAACATTGCTCAATAAAATTGCTTCACTTATTATACATAGATCAGATGCGGAGTAAAAGATCTGCAAACCCCATAACCTTTGCTGCCATTGCCTATTGTAGCTCAAGAATGTTGCGGAGAATAAAAAAGACGTCTGAAATAAAAGAAGGCCTTTAATAATGCCGAAGCAATGGGCAGTAACCAAAAACAACTCCTCATTGGTACCATGACAGCAAACTGTCAACACCAGATTGCTGCGGGCTAGTGCACAGCACTGCACTAAGGCAATACATAAAGGCCAGAAAACACTGATGAATGAAACTATATTGCAGAACGTTACACTGTATAAAAACATAGCATAAAGATACAACACTGGTAAGCGACAAAACCCCTAACATTCCAAATACACAACTATACTCTAGTCTGCTGAGAAGCCATGCTTAGAGCGAAAATGGCGAGTGAATACACCTGGATTAAATCCCAATGTACATTTTGCAGTAATTCAAGCGTCTGCATGCTGCCAAGAGATGCAGCACATTTATGGCTTTCATATTCTTAGAGTGTGGGCCCCCTACCCACAGATGCATGGAAAAAAAAAATCATCTGACAATACTACAGCCCTGTAGTGAGAAAGTTTTCAATCTCAGAGCCATCTTAATCTCATCAACAGAAAGGTACCTCTATAGAGGAGATAAAAGGGGCCCGATCTTATTTCTGAGAACTGATGCTATAGACTTCAAGGCACAAACATCCAACAAGGAAGAAAGGCACGGCTAAGAGCGACCTGTGTATAGAAGTGAATCTCGAGTCAAAATTGAGTGGCTTTACAGAAAATCGCAGGAGAGGAACGGTCGATGTAAAAAAGAAAAAGAAAAAAGAAAAAAGTCTTCCTAATGCAGAGGAATGCTAGCACATGCATATTTTTTTTTCTCTTGTAAACTGGACTTTCCTTCATCTTGTACCAACAGCACGGGACTTCCCTTTGTATAATTTCTATGGGCATTGGGGCGATATATGCACATGTTCTGTTTGTGCTTAGCTTTATTTACTGCTGTTGAACCCCCACTCATTCAGTTCAATGGACCCTCCAAAAAGCACTTTTTCAAAACGAGCAAGCCGTAGGACATCTAGGACAACAGTGGGTGCTAGCGTGCAGCACCAACCGTTATAGACAACCGTAGCACATTTCTAGGGGAACTCAACCAATCCTACATCCTTTAAAGTCAAACTTATAGGAAAGAAACACAAGGGTTGGAATTGCTGTCATCCTAAAAATACTTATTGCCTGCCTGTTAATGCAAACTCCCTGGCTTCAATAGTAAGTCATTGCCACAGAACCTGGACCAAGATTTGAAACCTTAAAAGAGTTCCTTATCTGCATATTAGTTCCAATTCAGTGGCTCACAGTTGGCAGCCAGGCAACTAGTTTCAGAAGGAGAAGTTAGCAATGGCAGCCTTGCTTCTCTTGTAAGATATTTTCCTAATGAAATTGTGGCAGAAGCGAAACACACATGTACAGGGAGCACCCATGTACATACACACTAAAACTGTGTACAGATCTTCAAAATAAAATGGCTGTCTACATGTCAAACTCCCATTTGGAAACTGAAATCAGTGCAGCAGTAGTACAAATGAAAGACCAGAAATGTGGATATACAATGAGAGGGGGGAAAAAATGTATCTAAACAAATGAATGCCCATTCTATAAGTGATGCAGAAATTCTCATTTCATGCATCACGTCTAGAAAGAAAACACAGCCAATGTTAGTGTGTGTGTGTGTGTGATATATATATATATATATATATTCTGCATTGCACTTTATAGAGTACAGAGAACAGCTGCAAGACTTAATACATGCAAATGAGATGCAGGAGTCTCCAGTACCAGCGGCGATCAGGAAGAGAACTATACAATAATAAAAACAAAAACTTCTTGTAGACATTATTCATTGGGGAAACATTACCTGTAGCGCAGTCTTTATGTAAAATACATTCTATATGTAAAGAGACCTACTAGCAGCGAAAGGGTAGGTCCCAAAAAGGACAATGAAAAGGTAATATATTAGGTATAATTAGGGGGAAAAAAAAGAAAAGAACTTGAGTCACTGCATCATTGCATTGTGTGTGCGGTTATATGTCTCCAAACCAAGAATATGAAGCAGATATATTAAAGGTGCAGTAACATGGGAGATATATACTATATACAAAGCCATGTTAGTGTACTCTACAAGAGTGTAAGAATGGCTATGTAGCTTTATATTTGTATACCTTCATAGAGTTTGTAAAGAACACTGAGGATCAAGAGATGGTGCTGTCAACAAGGCAGGCAGAAGGGTAGTCATTTTGGTGCCATTAGAGTGAATACTTTATAATGGCCGTCTTGTAGAAAACACAAAACAATGTTGATCCCTCTCCTAAGTTTCCTAAGTGCAGATGATACCTATTTGTTTTTTGGGATAGCTTTTGAAGTAGATTCTCGATGCCCTCTTGTGCAAGATGGTAAGACTTCAATACTATCTGGTATACACAAGACACTGAAAAGAGGGAATAGGGGAGGTACTTGCATCTCACAGTGGCACTGCACCTTTAAAATAAAACCAAAAAAGTGTCACTTGTCTACCTACAAGGAGCACAGACACTCTTAAAATGTTAATTGCAAAGAAAATAAAAAAAAATTAAAAAAAACAGAAAACCACAAAATAAAAACCAGGTCAACCACGCAAGACAGACAAAATGTTTTTGGTGAAAATTAAGACCAGACCTTTGCAGTCCCACTAGCAATGCATCAGTTACCAAAGTTTTTTTCATTATTAATATTTCTAAGTAATTTTATTCTGACTATTTTCTTTATAGAATAATTTTCATTTTTTTTTTAAAAGAGCAGTTAGTAAACTTTACAATAGAGTATAAATATTTCCTGTACATACTCAGCAGAAAGCCCAATCAGAAATGTATTTAGGCCTGTTAAAATCAAGCCTGAGGATTCCTTGTGGAAACATGAATGAATAAAAATGAAATTAGAAAACTGGAATAGCACACAGAAGAAATGTATCAGCATTGGGATACTGAATCATCATTAGTTGGAGACTTATGGCTTACCAGACTTTGTAAAACTAAACCCCCGGCAGCTGGAGAGCCATCTACTGAATTGATGCATGTGTAAGCTCCAGCTACCAAGGGAATAAAAGACCAAGGGCTTGCTAACCTCCCACCATTGAGGAGAACCAAGTAGCCTTTGCTTGAGAGTAAAGATTGCCAAGCTGCCAGTTGTATTATGACCCTGAATTTAGATGTAGCTAGGATCTATTATGATCATCATGGACACCCTCTGGGTCATCACTTTCGAACATGGACGACATCTGGAAAAATGGTTTCCCCTTCAAAAGCACAAAAGACACAAATGTCCTTTCACAATAACAATCACTTGCCAATCAATTCTTTAGATCATTTTTAACACAAGAATGGACACCCTTTTATAACACACTTGATCAAACACCGCATTGATGTATAACAGCCAGCATTTGTTGGCCCAGTCAGTACCTAAACTGTTCAACGGACTTAAACTGCCAGTCAATTCAACACTCCATCGCCATTGCTATAATCTGAGGATTTAAAAATGAATTGCTCCAAAATAAAAATTGCATAATTAAAAGTAAAAATAACAACCTCAAAATAATAAAAATGAGAATAACTGATGTCTGTACACATTAGGGGAGACCGCTCGGTGTCCATGCCAATGTTTACAAGATGGCAATTAATGCAAGACATCAAATTACCCTATTATGGAGTCTTTTAGGACAGACTGTCACAGATATTTTGTATACGCACGTGAATTGTGCTTTGCGGTTTACCATAGAGTTGGAAACATTAGCCACCTTTAATGGACAGTGCTACAGAGCTACCTTAAGCTGTATTTTTTTTCTTTTAAATGTTGCAGGCAAGTGAAATCGCCCACTGGTATCTCATATTCTCAGATATAAATTCGTTTCTAGGTCTGTCCATCTACCCTGACCACTGAGGAGACGTGCTAGGTTGGAACTTTCCATTCATTTACAATATAGGAGAAAGAAGTTGACCCTATGGCAGAATGAACACACAAGCTTGGAGATCAGACTAATGAAATCTTAAACAGCAGAACCAGTTGCTGCTAAAATTATGAAAGGACTTCCTATTAAAACACGACTGTACATTCCAGCTTATGGATTAGAATCTTAAGTTAGACAGACACTAGAAAGTGGTCAGACATATAGGTATCGAACTACCCTCAGGCATCTGTACTTACTGTTGGGTCCATAAATAAGTGTCCACTTTAAGTTTCTGTCTGTTGAGGAAGAGCAGATCGGGAAGGCTGCAGACACCTACAGTGCTGGCTTATTATGGTGAAAAGAATTAGAGATCAGACAAAGTTTTCTAGCCTGCCCGACCGCCATTTTTATCAATAAGCCAGTGCGATGACCACCCAATCCAGTCGAAGACATCTACCGTCCATGGACACTAATCACAAACCTGCCAGTTAGTGATTGAAGTTTTGAGCTGGTTGTATAAGATTCTTTGAGAAAAATGTAGAAACTTAACTTTAAAAACTCGTAAAAACTTTAAAAAAAATAAAAATGTAAAAACATTATCCTCAAATTATAGCTACAAGTGTGGCATGTGTATCATGCTTCAGCAGCAAAACTGCATCATAGTATTTGGCATTGTATTGTTAGCGTGCTCAATGCAGACGCAAGACTGAACATTCAACACTGAGTCACGCAAAACAAAAAATAATCTTTTTTTGAAAACCCTGAAATGCCAACAAGCGATTATACAGACTTTGAAATACAAGTTGTTCTTTCTACAAACATTTAACTGTCTTACTTTCTCTATTCTGTTCCGATCTCTCCCCCTGTGCGATGAGCTCAATCTATATGTATACACCCAAAGATCTCAATCCAATATGATGGGATGTAAAAACACTGGTCAGTACGGCTATACAATTTGTTTTGTTTTTTTATTCGTTAGTTTTGATTTTTCTGTCTGTCTTTTAGCCTCTCCTACATGCGTACAGATAAAACATTCTCTGTTAACAAAAATAAAAAAAAAAAAATTAAAAAAAATATACATATATTTATATATTTATATATATAGGTTAAAAAAAACAAAACAAATAAAAAATAAACACCAAGATGGAGTACACCGAATATTTCCAGATAAGATCTGAAGGAGAAGCCACTTGATGCAGAAGAGTCTTATTTCAATATTGATGGCTTGCTACCAATACATTGCACAGTCGACGTGAACGGTGTTGAGATTGGGGATGTGCAGGTTCAGGAGTAGGGGACACAGGGCCATTTTTTTCTTTTTTCTTTTTTTAATAAACCCCAAAAAGCCTGTAACGTCAGTTAAAATTGTGCATCAAAGTTTCAGTTTTGTTATACAAAAATCTGTTTGTTTTTACCCCTCCCCATTTTCAATAGAGTCTTTATATTGTCCTTGTCATTTAATATATCTTTATATTAAATAGCTTATAAGAAAATGTAAATCTCAAAGTGTTTCAGGCAAGCTTAAGAACAATTTAAAAGAACTGATAATGCTTGCTTTTTTTTTTTCCTTTTTTAATCTTGACTGTCGAATCTTGCTGTTCTCTTGTAGTTGACATGTACAAAAAAAAAAAAGAAACAAATTTCACTTGAGAGCCGAAGTGACTCCATTTTATAAACACTCTGTCTGAGGCACAGTAAGATGTTGTGCTGTGTGGGTTCTAAAGAGGCAAAGTTCAGTGCTTCTGTTGTACAGGGTAACATTTTCCCTTCCTCTCGGACTCTATAAAGTTCGTAATAATTTGTGTGAGCTCAGGGCGCACACTCCATACACTCACACATGCACCTATTCATGCATACATCGGGGCAACATCCTCCTCTTCCTGTGCATATACGTAGAATTCTGTATATGAATAGATACGTTTTTTTGCTTCATATAGAATTTTTTGTTTTTTGCTTTAGTTTTCAATGTCTTTTCGTGTGTGTTCGCTGCTGGAAAGGCTACTGGGCTTAGCCCAGCGTTGTTCCTGTAGATCTTTAACAACATTTTCCAAGTGTTCTCTGGCTTCTCGCTCATGTGCAAGATCTGTCCGCAGCTTCTCTCTGTCGCCGTCTGCTTGCTGGAGTTTCGCTTGCAATTCTTCTATCTGAAATGGGTAGGACACAGAGTTAATATAATAGAAGCACGGCACACTGGCAAATAGGTTCTGGATCATAGAACAGGAATACAGAAAAGCCACCAAAAGCCTTGTTCTTCCTAATGAATGGCTTGGGAAGAGAAATGGGAGGAGTTTTTGCCATCCACCTTACGCTTTACTTAAAAAGTGACACTAAACTCAGGAGTTAAATCTTAAAAATGCATTCAAGTACCCAACTATTAACAAAAATGTATTTTATTTGTGTATCACTCGACTGTAGATCCTCAAATCATCTCTGAACTGGTGCGGACGCTGTCCTTCCTTCTGGAGGGGGGCGACTTTTGTTCCCCATGGTCCCTGTGTGTGTTGTAAAGTAGCGACCGCTCCAAGCTCACTGCCAGGATGGATTACAATCTCAAAACAAATTAGTACACTAATCATTAGATTGTAGCCCATCACAGGAGTGAGCTTGGAGCGGTGGCTACTTTACAACACAAACAGGGACCATGGAGAACCAAAGTAGCCACCCTCCAGAAGGAAGGACAGTGTCAGCACCAATTCAGAGATGATTTGAGGATCTACAGCCAAGTGATACACAAATAAGATACATTTTTGTTAATAGTTGGGGTACCTGAATGCATTTTTAAGATTTAACCTGAGTTTAGTATGACTTTAAGCAAGAGTGTTTATCCCTATGAAGGAGTAACAATACTGTCCCCTATGCCACTATTCCATAGTGGATACACTGCGTTCTTTGAAATATTGCTTCAGCTCACACAATGACTACCAACATTCTCTGAATGCACCTGATTCCTTTTTTTCTCCATCTTCCAGGTATACAAACATCATAAAGAATGTGCATACTAAGCAGTGTCTACTGAAGGTTTTTTTTTAACACAAACGTTTAGTAGAGTCTAAATATATTTATTGCTACAGCTCTAAAAATGAAAAAAAAAAAAAAAGTTATGTCAAATACTAAAGGGTGACCTTTATTATAAACGGAAGCTCGCTCAAGGACATGATGTGGCAGTAAATAGAGCTAGCTTATCTTTGTCCTCTTTCTGTATCTGCTAGAGAAGGATGCTGGTGAGGTGACCATACCCTGACCTTGACAGAGGAAGCAGCCTGCCCCTGACTGCTAGCTGTGAAATAACATGCAGATTATCGTTTTGCAAAAGCAGTGCAACATCAGAATACCATTCTATTCGCTTCTGTTGTCCCTTCCATTAATTTAAAAAAAAAAATTTGCTTAACGCATCCAGCTGCTGCGATATATATACAAATTTTAAAACCATTTTCCATACAGTGAGCTTGTTCTCGCTGAATGTTTTTGTGGGTTTGTCTCCTGAAAATAATTAAGTTTTTAATTATGTATAAACCAGGCAAACTGCTTGCGGGACTCGCTGGACGCCTGGTTTTAGATTTCAAATAAGCACCCAAACTTTGCTTTTCTTTTAATAAGAAAACACTCATTTTTAGTCCCTGACGCAGCTTTTAGTATGTATACCCTGCGCTGGCTTTATACTTCATAAAAGGTGACTGACCGTAAACTTGGGCAAGGTCACCAGGGGGGTAGTAAAGGTCTTTCCCAATGTGACTGCAAGCTAGAAAAACACAGCGACAAGTCTTGATTTCTCAGCAGCACCCAGCTTGTAACTCAGTGGAAGAGAACTGCAGGTAACACCCATTGTACAGTTCTCACTGTGGTAATGTTTAGTCTGGAGGCCTCTTATCAGCTTGACGCTTGGGAGGAAATCCACATCATTTCCTGGTTTGGCCTGTCTCACATCAGTATAATCAGTCTACTCCCCTTCCCTCAATTGACTGAGTATTTTCAAAGAAGCTCAAATTGTTTTCTCCTGTCGTCAGTGTGCTGCACACGGGCTTATTTTCAACGCCGGAGAATCTTTATCTAGCAATATACCATCAGTAGCAACTGTTCAGGGCTTAAAGATCTGTCTCTTTTTCTCTTTGAGATGCTTTAGTAAACTAGATTTGAACTGTCAAACTTGATTGCCGAGGGCTAGTTCAAACCAGCTCCAGTGCATTCTGGCCCGATGCGGTGCCAGAACGCACTGGATCGCATCCCGGCCGGCTCACATTGTTTTGGGGCGGGAGGGGGCGTGGCGGTGCATTGTAGTCAATGGCACTGCAGTCATAGCCTACGGCCACAGTGCGATCGCCCGCACCGGAACGCGTGGCACATCAATGACTGCGTTCCGCTCCTGTGTGGTCAGAAAACATTGTGCATTGATATGTCATGTGTTCCAGTGCGGGCGATCGCACTGCGGCCGGAGGGGGTGGCTTGCAGTGCCATTGACTTCAGTGCACCGCCACGCCCCCTCCCACCCCAAAACAAAGAGAGCCCGCCGCGATCCAGTGTGTTCCTGCACTGAATCGGGCCAGAACGCACTGGGGCTGGTGTGAACTAGCCCTCAAGAGCTACATAAAGTGCAGGACCACTATCAGACTTTGTTCCTGATTCATCAAGTGGTGATAGAATTTAGGGTAGGTGAAAAAGCACTGAAGGTAGCACTGAAGGTATGATAAAATTCTATGTGAGAATGGTTAAGAGACCACCCCAAATGCTATATATCACACCTTAAATTGTATTGCAGCCTAATTATTAATGATTTCCAATATGCTTCACTGTCCCGACTTCACTTAACTAAAATCTGGTTTCTAAGGTTTTTCATACTTTTTGTACACTATGAATTGTTTATTAAAATGTCTAAGTACCTGGGCAGAATATTTAACGCGTATCCGTCCAGCCTCGCAGCCCTTGTCGCACACTCTAATCTGTCTGGCTTGCTCCAACTCTCTCTTCAGGCGTAACCGTGACTCGTTTGCCTCTTTCATCTTCTTTTCGTTTTCCGCTCTGAGCCGTTCAATTTCCTTCCGCAAGTTGCGTTTCGCCTCCGTTGCTTCTCTCAACTTCTCTTTCTTGGCGACACGGAGGAACTCCAGCTCCTAAGAGACAAGTCATAAAGGAAGAGTGTAAGTTCCTATTCTGGCACAAGATTGCCTCCTACAGTGCCGCAACGGTTACATTTGAAACCGCAATGACAGAAAACATAGGATGACATAATTTTTGATCAAAACCATTATAACCATAGTCGTTTAGCCAATAAATCCACGAGTTTCAGATTATGCTGGACTTGTAGTTCTACAGCAGCTGGTGGGCCACTCTGCCAAATCCTCCACTGGCCAATTATTCTCTCTGCTCACCTTGTTCCTCATTAGGAAGCCACCTTATCTAATGGCATACTGGGACTTGTAGTCCCTCTACACCAGATTCAAAACGGATGTGTACCCAATACACAGACAAGTAGGCTAAATGTAGATAGCACACAACCTGTTCAGCTTAAACTACAGAAGGATAGCATGTAAAGTAAGTGGCTACTGAGGCATGCTGGGCCTTGCAAAGCCATAGCTCAACTGTCACTTGTACTCAAAAGAGGCAATTATGCACGCCGAATGAAACCCATGACAAAACTGGGCACATGGCAAAAGGCATTGTTTCAGTTCTTGCGTTCCTCTGCACGTGTGATACTTTTACCCTACATATTACTGAACTGTCTAGGTAACAAGAGCAGCTGCTTAGAGTGGAGGCTTCCTGCAGAACTAGAAGAGGGCAGGTAAGTCACAAGACGCTTCCTGACATATCAGCAGACTGAAAAGATTCACAGGATAAAACATGGAGAGGGGGGAAAAAAAAGACCAGAAGTGAGACTTCCTCTGGCTCTCTGATAGCACCATGCACAACAACATGTTTCTGTTAAGTAACACCCTGCAGCTAGGTCATGGGAAATCCTTTTCCCTTTACAATAATGTGACATCCCAGCCAAGCCATTGTTAACGTCGATGCACTCCTGACTTTCTCTCCACCAAAATTAGGAACTGGAGAAGAGGATGTTGCAGTAATTCATCTTAGAGACAAGCAAGAACTGAAGCTTGTCTCCATAACCATCTCACAGGTGGACGACATGAGAGCCACCGATTTATATTTGGTACAACGTTCATTTCTCCTGATTGTGTCTTCGTCAGCAGCTCTTGCCTGACAACTGTCTCTATTGTGATTTCCTTCTTAATACATTAAAATTAGCCATCCTTAGAGAAATCTGCTGACAACACCACCATGGAAATTGTTACCAGGGATGGTGGAGTTGAGGCAGCACAAGATAAGTCAATGTTTTATGGTGGACCAAATATTGACCAATTTAAGTTCTCTTGAAATGTTAAACTTCTTTTATTTTGGCTCTACCCAACCAGAGTTCAAAACTTGCATGTCATCCACATAATAAAAAAGGCATTTGGCTTAACTGTTATTTACATATGGAAATAAAAGCAATTATGAAACTGTAGGCAGGAATCTGAGAGCGCCCATTGGTCTGTATTCAAATTCACTCTGTCTCCTGCCCGCTCAGTGCCCACTCCTGCCCTCTAAGTATCATAAATGCACTGCCACAGAATACAAGACCAGACACTCCAATGGCTAGTTGTAAAGAAATGACAAAAGCCTTAGTATCGGGATAATATGTACTGTAAGTTCTAATCCCAAAGGACTGAGCATGCATATGGCACAGTTGAGCATTCTTCCTCAATGTGTGTCGAACTTAATAATCGGCTAACTAATCGATTTTGAAAATAATCGTTAGCTGCAGCTCTAGTGTCTAAAGTAGTCAAATTAACCATAATACAACACTGAAATGCAGATCAAAGACCTCAAAAGAAGCTACTCTACCTGCTGAAGGCTCCTTTTGGCCTGCAACGCAGCATTTAATTTCTCTTCTTGTTTCACTCTCATCTTAACTACTTCATGAAGGAACTTCTCTTTGGCTTCCTTGGAGTCCAGACCACTGTCCAGGGCTTGCCGTAGGTGCTCCAGCTCTGCCTCAAGCCCACTGCTAATGGAGTCCCCGTGAGGAGCCGCTTCAAAGGAATGGTTAACCGCAGCTGGGGCTAGCATGCCTGGAGAACTCAACTCCTTGGCAGAGCTGGAGGATGTGAAGGAAGGAGAAGAGAGCGAAGACAGCGAGGAAGTAACTATAAGAGAGGGGGGGGAAAGCAGAACTGTGAGATCTCAGGTGGCAACATTTCAAGCAAAACAGGTAAACAAAGAAAACTTCATTTTACACGAAGGGGACAGTGCAATAAAGAAAAAACCCAATCGTAATAATGAGAAAACCTTCAAAATGGCAGCTGCTTATTCATAGTCATTAAAAGAACCCCACCTAACACTTAACTTACAATGGCCTCATAACAAAGATGCACTATAAGCTTAGAAATTGAAGAAGCCACTGATAGCACACTTTACGGTGTCTCCTTGCTTCTAACATGCCACACCTCTAAAGTTCATGGAATTGAGCTGCGAGAAAACGTACAACATGTAATCCTACATAACGTATAAAACGTCTCTTTAAAATATGGGCAATAAAAATGCCTAGGCACTCTTTCCCCTGTATAATACAGTCACGTATCATAGGACAGTCAAGTCACAAAACAAGAGTGCGATGACCTGTGTGTGACCCGTATGATTCATCTACCAGGCAAACGATACCCAGCTACAGAAGAACAGTGCAGATTAACTACTGGAACTTGACTCGTAAACATAAGCCGTTCAATCTTTGATCTATAATTTCTGTTTCAACACCCACCTTCTGAGTTTTGTAAATATTATTTACAACCTATGTTGTTATTTTTATGATGGCCCCCTAAGAAAATGCCAGCACAGCAAAAACCAGAGGGCCATTTCAGTTAAAAGGGCAACCACAACCATCCAAATAGTAGCAGTAATGAGCAGCATGGCTAAATAGCTGCTTTACAGTGTACGTCAAGGAGAAATAAAATTAACAAAAAACACATTCTGTATAACTCTACAATACATTAAACTACTGAACTACACAACACCACCCAACATCCACCACCATCTGTTCATCTCCATATGCATACACTGATTTGTTTAAGGCAAAACCATACTGCGGCCTTGATTGCAAAGAGCATGCCTACATGCCGTGTATAGGGAAAGGGTTTTTTGGAAGATGTAGTTCTGGTAGGGCATATCTACAGGACATCAATAGGAAAGCACTCCCAAACAGCTCCCCTGCAAGAATTTTACAACCCTGGTGATAATCACATGGAGGATCTAAAATGGTTTTCTGCTATAAAAAGGCAAAAACAAAAAAATTTGAGGAAAGAGGAACCTTTAGGGGTAAATTTAAGCCTGGCTTTACAAATCTTAAATCCTACAACTTGTTTTATGAATTCTGTTAGAAAATGTAAACATAAAATTCAACTCACACTTACATTCTTCTCTACTTTCCACCTCAATCTCAGTTTCAGACTCCTTCTCTTCTTCCCGAGTTGGTACAGAAGGAGTGGGGGCCTCAGGTGCTGGAGGAAGTTCTGCCGTGGGCCTTCGTTTTCGAGACTGACCAGGGCTACCTGATGATTGAGTACTTCTTGGCACAGCAGGTGCGCAAAGAGGGCTGGTGATGACTTTCTGTTGGGTTGGAGGTGTCAGGGCAACATTGGGGGCAACTAGGTTCTTAATAAAAAAAAAAAAAAAAAAAAAAAAAGAAGAGGAACAATCCACAACAATGAAGTGAATAAAATGCGATTTCCATCTTTAGAACATTTTTTTTTTCCTTACCTATCCCGGATCAGGGTGGGTAGATGGGTCGGAATCTCCTTTTCGTTTGCAGAAATGGCAGGGGACCAGGGCCGAAAAGCAGACAGGCGCTGGCGAGGGTGGACGTATCCCATGTTCTGTAGTAAACAAAAATAAGAACAAAAATAAGTAAAATGAAGATCAAATGATGCACTAGCACACACGATAGTTAAACATACATTTATATAATTTTTTTTAAATGAAAATGTAAACAGATTTCACAAAGTGGTACAAGGGAGACTGGAAAACCACAGCAACCAAAACACAGGCGAGTCTTTTAAAGTGTTACAGAAGAACCAACTTTTAATACAAATGGCAAATCATTCCTGTTAAGCAACTAATGTGCTGCAAATAGACAATTATCTATATTTTTCTCAAGGTCGGTCATGTCTTTGGGAGCTCTTATACAGTAACTAAAAGGCTTATGTTCCTTGATATAAAATCACCAGATTCTGTTTTCCTTCCAAACTTTCTAGAAACACAATTACATTATAGAGGAATTCAAATCACTTATGTTGAACAAAAAAAATTAACTACAAAAAAGCCTTTTAAAAATGTATGGGGAAGTAACTGTGCAGCAAGTTTACAAAGCAATCCCTTGAGCATGACCCTGCTCGGTGTAAATGAGAACGCCTCTAGTGATCCTGTTCTATTCATAAGCTTAGCAGTCTCAGTTTACAAACAGAATGCAGAGGCGATACTCCTGCAAGCTGTACGATTTGTGTGTCATGACACAGGCTGCCGGGACGCATGGCTACGCCATGGCTGCAGTTCGGCCGTCTGGCTTTTTCACCTGTGCCGCACACCTGGCCGGACACAAATAACTCAGCCTGTGGTTTTTGGCTAGAGGTTGTGCTCTCATTTTTCTTAAGCAGCCGCTGTTGTACATTCCTTGCTCCCTCCTTAGGTTGCCATGTTGGCCCTAATTGCTTAGCAACTTTCACTGGAAAGGATGAGCCAGATTACATTTAAGACCCTGAGCAGTTGTTGCCTGCCAATAAATATGAAGCTCGCAGAAGATCTTTCTGGGGTTATGGAGCGAGGAGGGACTGGGGAAGTTGGAGTTTCTGAGGCATCGGAAAGCCACTTACCTCATCTCCCAACGTGTGCCAAACCACTAAAGCTTCAGATAAAAACAAAGACTTTCCAGAGCAAGGTAGAGACACAAAAGTTGTAGGTCTCGGACCACTATAAAAGAGCTTGGCTTGCTCTGACAACCCTCAGTTTAAGACCAAGTCTATTTTGCTACAGTTAATTGTTAAAGTTAGTAGGTTGCATGAATATCTGCGTTCATTTTATCACACAATTTTCTCATACCAAAAGTGTGCATAGCTGTGGACTTTAAATAGTTAACCATTGAAAGCTCTCCTTTGTGAGGTTCAAAAACCTTCAAAAAGGGTCAACTCACTAAAGCATAATGGATGCAACATTTTCATTGCCGTAGGTTATTTACCATTATAACAATCAAAATAGATGTTTTACAACCAAGGATTAATTTCACAGATCAGCTGAACTTAGCACATGCGTGTTAAATTATCAAAATACATGTAATCTGTATTAATGTACTTTGCATTTGAATGTCAACAATTGTGTTAACGCAAATGTCTACCTAAAACTAAAGTTTTGAATAAATAAGTATGGAAGCATCTGGATCTCAGGCTTTTGCCTTTTATGTGCTAAAGAGAGTTACCCTCACTACCTATGACATTTTCTGAACTAATTTGTCCGCAAAATGTCATCACTACACGCCTAAAACATACTGTAGAAATGTACACTTACTTTGCTGGCGTTTGATAAATTCCGCAACCAACTAGAGGACTTGTCCTTCTCAGCAGAGCTCGGGGAGTGGATGATGGCATCTTCTGATTTGGACTTTTTAGTTGGCGGTTCTGAAGGAATCTGTAAGACAAACAAGACAGACATTTAAGATTAGAGCAAGTTGCTTTCATTAACACATCTCTATTCATTTTCCACAACGGGAAGAGGTGGAATTCAGCTGTGAAGTGTTCTTAAAACAGAAGACATTTACATATTGCTTTCATCACATTCCCATAATCACTGAGATAAAATATGGGAATACCTTCAGCTTTAAGGTGAGCTAAGGTAATTCACTGGTCCACCTCTTAAACTGTGTGGCTGATTTGTGAAATTTAGCCAAAATTGTATTTTGGCGATGACGCATATTTGTATGTTTTGGTTTTATATAAACGTAGGCACTAATGCAGCAGGAAGGCTCATTGGCATTAAACCACCAAAACTTTTTTCTGTTTAATATACCGAGCTGTAAAGTTGGTGTGTTACAGACCCCATTCATGGTGTCGAACTTCATGGAGCCCTCTAGTGGCAAGCATACAAATTAAAAGAACCAACTAAAACATTTTTTAAAAAATGCTGGAAACTGTTGCCCATAAAAACTACCACAGCCGAAATTAGAGGGTTACTTTAAAAATATGGACAGTTGTAGCCCTAACTGGTGAAGACACCCTCATAAGAAATCCTTAGCAGTTCCTAGCTTGACAGAACAGGCCAAATGTGACTTCAGCAGCGTGCTACCGATTTTTAGTAACGACTGAAATGGAAACGGTCCCTGTGAGCACCCTCTGAGAACCACGCCTATATATGACAAACGTCTGCCTTCGCTTGCACATAGAAGGAATGCTTTATGTGGCGTGCATCAGAACTGCGTGAACAGCGCAGTCTGTTTATTTGTGATGGTTGTTAAGCGGATGACTTCACTCTGCCACAGCTGCACTGGATTCTGGGTAAAATGCCAACTCCTGCTTTGACTTTTCCACAAGTGGTTTGAATCTTGGACTGTAAATCACCCTAAAGCATAGAAAAAGACCTCTTGGCAAGAAGATCATTCCCTTCAACACACACAAGTAAGCGGACAGGGCGTCTCATGAGCAGGTGCTGCAAATTCTACTTTTAAAACACTTACACTGCTATGGCTCAACAAGATATCCACATCTAATATATCATATGTACAAGGGACAGGGTATATACATAAAACAAGGGGGAAAAACAGGTTTGAAGAAAAAAACAATTTCCATGCAGGCACAGTAATGGCAAAAGTAAAAACGACCTGTAACTGGCACAAAAACACCAGATTAAAGAAGGCCACTAACTGGAACTTGGATAGCATTTCACAGCGAGGTGTTACTGCAATAAGAGAGCCACCAATACTAGGCCAGGCAGTATCACGCAACTGCAGTGTGCTCTGCAGAGGTCTCAGGAAGTGCAGGCCTAACCTGTTGTTTATTTAGCAGGAGTGTCTGGACTAGAATGATGGCTGAAAAGAACCATAGACCTTGATAGGTAAAACAGCACAGAGCTTAGCTATACGTTTGTTTTCTGTTTTGTTAATTAATGGACTATGGGGTTGTATGGATATCATGAATGCAACCTACAATGTGGAGCAGTCTAGTACAACATCTTTGACCATAAACAAGGATCCTTAGTATGTTCATGTAAAATTCAGGCAACATAAGGGAAGTATTTACAGATTTATTTCAGTTTTACACCATGTTATACTTCCCTCTTTACAAAAGACAGAACAGTTAATTCATTCAGACAAAGCGACACCAGTGAAGCACATATCTCGACACCAAAGCAGAGACTGCTTTATGGAAAATACTGAGGAATACTAGTAGTAAAAAAATAAAAATTAACAAGCTAAAGCAAGCCTAAACAAGCACCATCCCCCCACCCCTCCTTCAACCAAAAGAAAACTGACAAGGAATGGTTTGGGTCAAATAAGTTTACAGGCTTTGGTCTCTGGCATGCCTGCCCAACAGCGCCAAGTAGAATCTTGTAGTAGATAATAGCAAGTCAGACACCAGCGAGCAAAACCAGATTTGAACCGATGACCTTGAGGTGGAAATCTGTATATTCACACTGGCAGAGGCCCATTTTCCAGGGAGACCTGCTATTAAAGTTCAGTGACTTCAAACTGGTTTAGGAAAAAGGGAAAGAAAACAGTATTGGATCAGCAGAAACGATCGGTTTCCATAAAATAAACCGTGGAAGCCTTGTCATCATGTGGGTGCTGAGCAACGCAACAACATCGGAGACGGCTCTCTTTAAAGAATCTGGCGTTAGTGTTTGTAGCTGTGGATTCTGCTTTGGATCAAGAGAAAAGGTTTCATACAGCAATATGAACGGTCCCAATGTTCAAACCTAATCCTATTCTGTTCATGGTGGGCTTCATAGCACCGATTTCAAGAGGGTGGTACTCAAAGTTTCCTTGATTTAAAACCTAGACCCAAATGTAAATAGAAATATATGCTGCAAGCACACAGAGACAGGTTTAGGGCTTATCTAGCAAACATCACTTTACTCTTAAAACTCACACATTTGCTGCTGCACTATTACACTTGATAAAAGCAATGGAATCGGGTACATTTCCGAGCAGTCTCAGGGTGAGGTCTTTCCTGTTTCACTACCATCTCTTGTACACAGCAAAATAAAAACCTAGCTAGCTCTCTTACCAACAGCAAAAACCACAACACCAGGCGCCGGTCTGAGACTTCTTATTTGTTTAAAGCAAACCTCAAACATTTCATAATGTTAAAAGTGCTAGACAGAAATTCACAGCGGGTAGATAAGCAGATCAGTATTTTACAAAGTTATCATTTAAATAGCAACAGCAACGGAGAAGGTACTAAAACTGCTTGAGTATAGGTATTGCAGGATGCGTCAAGCAACTGTGTTATCACGATGGTGTTTAAATAAAAGGAAAATACTCTTTACAATAAACTGTCAAACTTGTACTACATTAACTCTTAATCACTCCCGACAAAAAATAAGCAAATGCTCAGCTAGAATACCTTGGCTTTTTGTGGCAGTAAAACCTCAAGCAAGTCAACAGTAAGTTGAGGGGCTACAAGCTCCGGGAAAGTGCATATATACATATTTTTGGAAGCTACAAGTCTCAGCTGAGGAAATGTTACAGCAAGCATGAGCAACAACTTTCCAACTTGTTCAGAAAACAACTTCCAGAAGCTGCAACCCTTGAGGTGTTGAGGAACGTCAAGGTTCAAATGGGTCACATATTGCCCAACCCTACCTAACCCATAGCAAGAATGAAAAAGGTATATAACTCAAACAAAAGCAGAAAATTAAGGAATCTGCCTGTTCGAAGGCGGCACAACATAGCATGCAGCTGCTTCCAGGCAAGCAGTGTCTGGATACCATTGTACTAGACAAAACAGACTTCAACACTAAACTTTGAGAGGCAGAATGTGTAATCAGAGACACTCAGTGTCTAAAGTGAGGATGAGACCGTGCTCGAAAACAATTGCCCTATTTAATTCTTTCCTTGTCCTGAGCCACTCCTTCCCTTGGTGCTTCAGTCTCCACTCTCTGTAGAAACAGAGGCTTGTTACCAGTCTATTGACAAATTTCAAAAGAGAACACAATGCAAGCAATGATAGGGGGAAAACATTTTAAGAGTTAAACTTTTCCATTTTATGAGTTGAATCACTCACTGCCTTCCTACATCTGCTATATCAGCAGGGTAGCACCCCCCCTGCACCCAAGCACCTAGCTCCATCCATCTGCTGTGGACACCTTTGTATGGCTGATGCTTTATCAGATTATGGAGACCAAATCACCAAGAATGACACTGATCCTGCTGCAATAGCAGGAAGAGGAGTGGAACTCTGGAGTTGGAAGAGACAGCACCATACAAATTTGGGTTTGTATTGTATGGTGTATTTCATGAAAAGGGTAGTATAACTATCTATAGGTCTGAATTACTTGGCAAGTTGTTTTTTTTGTGGGGTTTACTTTAAAAGGTCAAGCAAAAACACACTAAAAAAAAAAAAAAAAACAACACACCCCCCGACTAATAAAAGCATTGCAAAAGTCCTGAATGCAGATATGGAGACTGGAATTGTTTATGTTTTCTAGGAATTTGCCTGGCTGGGAAAGCTTGCAAAAGGCCACATTTTTATTTGCTCATTTTAAGTGTTTTGTATTTTTTACTAGGGCAGAGGCAACGGGATGCACTTTGTGATTTGGTTCTTGGTTATAAGCAAATGCTGAGAAAACCGGGCCCTTTTCCCCACAACGGCATTCTTTCGTCTGCTGTGCTAAAGTAAAAAAATACACCTAATGTCAACAAATGCTAAGGGGTGCAAAGGGCACATCAGTGCAAATGGAGAATGAGGACAAGTGTGATGATTCAAAAGGACAGGCACTCTGCATGTAACAACTGAAAGTCAACTATTGCCTCCTGCAATCCCCAATAAAAAAAAAAAAATAGTCAGAGGGAGAGGAAGAGGCAGCACTAGGAAACAACCATGTATGCTACATGCAAAATGTGTTGACAAGGAACTGCTGATAGGAGTAAAGAGCAGAGAGAGCAAAGGAAGAACCCCATGATACCGCTTCTGCTCTTTCGCTGTGACAAGGATAGGGGTGGAGAGGAGACTCTACTGTATTCCTTAAATGTAAGTGGTGTCAGCTGCTTGGCTGTCCTATGTAATGGGCTGTATAAATATCAGGAAAGTATGGACAGAAATGCCAATCCTATGGCAGGCAACACAGCTATCATATGTATTTGATCTTTGCATCTACCATTTTGGAGCTCAGCTTTATGTCAGAGGAAGCAATTTTTCGAAAGTGACATTTATTTTTAATCATTGGGAATCTCAGAAACCGATAATACACAAAGTTAGGGACCTTTACTGTAAGTTTAAGTGAAACTGTACAATTCCTGTGTTTTCACTTCAGCCAGATTTGTGGTTTCATGGCTTCCAGAACCTATGAAACTTACAAATGAATAAGGAACCAGAAAAAAAAATTAAAAATTGTTTACACCGTCCTATGTTTGTATTACAATACCGCAGTTGACATTTGTATAGTCTAATCACAGAGCCTGCAACCAGTGAGAT